TTATTAGCAATGTAGTTTCCCCTCACTCCTTTAGTAACAGCAGTGCAGCCCTAATTGCAATGATCTGAAGTTCGCCCAAAAGGTAGTGAGTTTTATTAAAGCATTTGATACATCATCATAAATAACTTGTATCACGGTAAATGCACACATTATATAGTAGGGTACTTTTCTGTGCCACAGGTAAGAGGATGGTATCAACTTGAAGTACTTTTGTATTCAAAGGAGAGTCCCTGATACCCCTACAGGCCCTCTGTGCTGTTAGTGTGGTGCCAACAGCAGCTGAGCCACGGACCCACCGATTGGAACGTGCCACTCTTTGACACTGAACAACTTTTAAAAGAGGGAACTGATAGTCTTTAGAGCAGTATGGACTGCTATGTTCAACTGGAATGTTTAAAATCACAAATAAAATTAGTCTATCACCAAAAAGATGGATTAGGTGCAGAAACTCTGTACATATTACTTGCACTCAGGGAACTGTTTTGAGTGTGATTGTCTTGGGTGTTTTTTTGTGATTTTGTTGGGGGTTGTGCTTTTTTTTTAATGGAAGTACAGCAAAGCCACCCCTTGAAGACTCTAGGACCTGAAGTCACACTATTTTCTCTAGTAAGGCTCTTGGGAGCCTTTTAGAAAAAGGGATGTGAAGTTACCTGCATGTTTATATTTCCCTTTATTGATTTGTCTGAGCTGCCAATGCCGTGAGCAGTGTGTTCTCATCAATACGCCAGCTTCGACAGGGAGGACAAGACAAAGGAGTGCAAACACACTTCATGCCTTAAGCTCAGCACAAAGCCTCTTCTCTCTTCATTTTCTGACAATGTAAGATTGTCATTAATTTTCTTGAAACTGGCAGCCTTTTTGTGAGTGCTGTTCAGCTGCTTTTGAGCTTATAAATAGCATTCCCAAGGGGCAGTCTCTATGTCTGTGGAATTGCCAGAGGTGACCAATTGTTTAGAAAATTCTATAATAAATACTATTTCCTCTGACAATCACACCCCCTCACCTTCAGTTGTATTGACTGAACTCTATGTACTGCTGGAGTCAGTAGATGCTTCTGTGAAGTGTATAAGATTTCCCGCAAGTTGCTACATTTTACAAAGTAATGGTTTCCTGCATTTTTGGTTCTGAAAGTTGTCATGTTAATGATGACTGACAAAACAATTAGTGCTAGAAAAGACGCACATTTCTCCCTCCCTGTCCCCAGAAAAAAGAAAAACAAAACCTCAGAAAAACTAAACCCCATCGATTTTTTTTGTTTGTTTTTGAAAAACTCAGAATTGTGATTGGATCTAATAATAATAATTACTAATTATTTTCAGTTGGAAGAGTTTGCTTTCCTCTTAGTAAGATACTTGTGACTGTAAAGAAGGACCTCTTAGCAGCTCTTTGGAGGCTTTCACTGATTATTTTGTTGTTGTTCTTATGCAGAGTAAGATCTTAGATGTTTATCTACATTCCCACAGGCTTGTATATCCTCTCCCTCGAGGAAGTGCTGCCTGCTGCCAAGAATACACACCAGGTTTTCTAGAGAGACGCCAAGGTCAGCCTAAGACAGACTGAGAACTTCAGAACACCTGATGGCTTTATATTTTCCCTCCTAAGAAGTTAAATAATTGGCGATTATTTATTTTACCACCGAATATTCCCACAAAACTAGCAGAATATGGGTTTTCTGTTTCGCTCACTGGCTACAAGCAGAGATTTTGAGTATGTCCACTTTAACACGTACCAATCTCTCAACATGAAGGAGGAAAAGCAGCTCTTGTTCTGCTTTCAGAGACAATAAAGTTAGAGACGCAAACAGAAGGTTGGATTTAGGTGCCGACAAGTAAATTGTTTTTCAGTTCCCATTTTAAGCGCGACAGTGAACTGAGATTATTGCTACTTTCCCCAATAAAGGTGCAAAGAGCTATAAGCTTTTTGTGTGCAGAGGAAAACACCACAACGACATTAGATATGGAATAGTTTGTAGCATTGTTTGGGCTTGCATTCGCCCCCCAGGAAGTGCAGAGGGGTGTGTGTGACAGAGAATGTGCTCCAGCAACTCCCTGAATTGCCGAAAGCATATCATCAAAGGTACTTGCAAACCTGGCTCTTATTCTAAGGAAGTAACATTTAACTAACCCATCAGCTGATTTGTGAATTAATTACCCACAAATTTGGGCAGGAATAATGCATACTGTTCCTACCAAAAGCTGAATCCTTTAGGTGGCCTTCTCCCAAAAACACCCACTCAGAGAACATTCTGCAGACACGATGTTTTCTATTCTTTTTCACTTCTCCATCTGTGTTATTTCCAGGCCAGACTACTTGAAAGTCAGCATCCCTTCTTCTATCTAATTAAGACCCTTCACACGACAATTCCTTCCTTTTCAGAAATTCCTGTTAATAATTATTCCAGAGCTCCTGCTGTATTCATGAACTCCTAAACTCTCTTCATTACTTTTTATCATAAACAAGAGGGGGAACAATAGTTTTGTCTAAAATCTTCAGTCTGCTAAAAGACCATGTTTTTTTCAGAGTGAGCTCCTAGAAGACAGAATCAGTCTGATATATGAGCAGATGGAAACATAGAGGAAATTTCCTGTCTCACCATTTTACCCACCATAGAATCAGAGCTCTGTGGTGGGAAATCAGAAATCAGAAACTTATTCTTGTTTTAATTTGTAATTATAGCAAGTCATGCAAAGAACATTTTAAAAAACACTTGTAACTGTAAAAAAAAAAAAAGTGTTAACTATCTCATATTATTCTATCAGTGTTTATATTTGCCTCATGACATGTCAACTAAGACCAGAATTACGGAGCTTAGTTCTTTTAAAACAGTTCCCTGACATCCCAGGGGGTTGCTCTGTGATCCGTTTTCTTCTAAACGCATGAAAAATCCAAGTGTTGTTGTCTGGAGTATTCTTTTGAATTTTAAGGTAAACAGTGAAGAGAGGCTCATTTCACCTGATTTTAGCTGCATGCTTCAGCTGCTCTGCTGATGCACATTCACTTGACAACCTGTGGAAAGGAAGAAGCAGGCACTGATGGGAAACAGATCCTAAAATAAAATATCCTGAGTGATAAAAACCCTGGAGAGCTGCCAGCATCTTTCTGGTGGTTGTAGAGGGAAACCACACAACTAGCTTAGGTTTTGATGATTAAAGTTTGACAAAGCAAATGTCATCATACAAATTCCTCTTGCAGCATCTATGCTGCCTTTTTTTGCCTTTACATTCTGCTGTTGAAGTTTTTCCATGCTAACAAAATCAACACTGCAGTTTTGACAATCCAGAGTTAGATTTAGTTCATGTTTCTGGAGATTGCCTCACATACCCGAAAGTGAGACAATCCCTAGACATGGCTGCTTAAAGAGGAAGTCTTGAAGTGGGAAGAAACTAATAAAATACTGGCCTAATCCAACTACACTCTTACTATTTTAAGCCTTTTGGTGTGAAAGATGACAGTTCAAAGGACAAGCCTTGCACTGGTCTTGGATTTCAGCCAGTGGTGAGAAGCTACTTGTTTGAAACTATTGATATGTCTTGAGAGAAATCAGAGTAGTAACTGGCTGTATTAATTAACAAGATGCAGCCACAAAAATTACAAATATGATTATTCAGCTTCTCAGGAGAAGTGTTTCCATTATACAGGGAAATGTTGATGTTGTCATTTAACTAGTAAGACCTACACTTGAAAAATTAATCCAAAGACATTCAAGCAAAGTAAATTCAGCTTGGAATAGAATCACAGAATCAATTAGGTTGGAAAAGACTTCTGATATTACTGAGTTCACCCTAGGCTGGACAAGGTACAGACAAGGTCTCTTTGAACCATACTGGGGTGTGAGCAATCTAAAAGAAGTTACCGAGTCTCACAAAACAAAGTCTGAGAAGGGAGGGATTCTCTCTCTGTAAATACATTCATGGGCAGATCTGAGGGAAAGGAAATGACTGAAGCTTAGAATCAGCTCTGCTCAGAATCAATGGACCCAATATGGTGGTGGATGTGCTTAGGCTGGAAATTAGAAGTGAAATATTACTGCAGAGCACTGCCATGATATTCTGGAACAACATTCACACAGGAGTTTGGAGAGAAGCGACACTAACAGTTCTCAGGATGAAGCTTGATCCTTTTATGTAATAGATTATTATTGTTATTATTATTATTATTATTATTATTATGTGATTTGCTTTAGTAGCAGGAAAAAGGACTTGATTACATTATTTCCTAAGTTCAAGTATACACAAACACATATATAATGCATGTGCTGTATGTACATACTTATTTGTTTATATTTCAGAAGTCCTGTGCATAAGGATCAGGTTCTTACCAGTCCATGGGACTCAGAGGATACGGGCACCTGTGTACATTTATAGGCTGATACAGTGGAATGCACAGCATGGACTTCTCTATTATCCTTTTGCCTTTGACACCCAAACGCTCAGGAGTGACAGCAATACATCACACAGGTGGCAAAGCAGTCTTAGCAGTGCCAAATCTGAGTCCTGCTGACAGTAGTCACTGTAAAGATCACAACAAGATGAGCAGCTCTGCTGTCTGCAATTGTAAAAGGAAGCAATGGAATCGTTTAGGTTGGAAAAGACCTCTGAGGTCATTCAGTCTAACTGTTAACCCAGAACTGCAAAGTCCACCACTAAAACATGTCCTTGGTGCCACATCCACACACCTTTTAAGTATCCCCAGGGGCAGTGACACAGCCACTTCCCTGGGTAGCCTGTTCCTTTTCTGTGAATAAATTGTTCCTGTCATCCAATCTAAACTTCCCCTGTGCAACTTGAGACCATTGCTTCTTGTCCTGTCCCTGGTTAATTGGGAGAAGAGACTGACCCCTACCTGGCTACAACCACCTTTCAGGTTGTAGAGAACAAGAAGGTTTCTCCTGAGCCTCCTTTCCAGTCTGAGCCTCCCTAGCTCCCTCAGCTGCTCCTCATCAGAGTGGGGTTATTAATGGGTTATCACAGTCCCTCTCTCACCCTGTTTCTCTTTTTCAGGAAGGACAATTTCAGACAGTCAGAAGGGCATCCCTAAAGGGGCAGGTAGAGGCACAGACCTGCAATAACAAGTGCAACTGTCTCCCCTTCCCTAAAAGGAGGGGGAAAAGACTACAATAAAGAACTTAAATCTTCTCTCAGCTTTGGCTGTGCTCCCACAGCACTGAGCAGGTGAGTTACCACCCCAGCCCAGGAGTGCTTGAACATTGCCATTTGACAGCTGCTGATTAACCTGTGTGGTTAAGCAGCAAAGAGACAAGGGCAATACAGAAGCCAGACACTTGAACTGTCACCACTTGTGCAAGATGGTGGCCTGGAGTATCTGTTTCTGTGAGGCTGCCAATCCAGCATCTGCCACAAAGTGTCTAGTTCATAGTGAGAAAACAAAGGGAGTCCCAATGACACATCTTCCAGCTGCAATCCCGAAGAAGTGTCATAGGAGGACAATGGAATGCCTCTTCTGCAATGAATAAGTGGGTGTTATGACAAGGCACATAAAATTTGCACAGGGTTGAATTTTAATTCTACAAAAGACAGCAAACAGACGCCAAATGTGTCTAATTTTAGGAAACTCTGGAGTTTTGCTCTACAACGTCCTTGAAGAAAGTTGTAGTAAGATAAGTGCCATGACTATGTGGTAACAGCATTGTAACTTCCATTAGAAATTGTGATGTATGAGATGTGGTAATCTCATTCTTCTGTGCTCCCAGGCTATATTTTCAGGGAGGGAGACAGAAAAAAAAAAAAAAAAAAAAAGGCGCCATTATGCCACTTTACATGGAGACTTTTTGTCTTAGAAAATGAGAAGATCCTTGTTCCTTCTACTTATTTTTGTCAGTACAACAGCACTGCCCTATGCAGTCCTCAGTCTCCTATTCTTCTACTGTATCTTCTTTCATGTGTATTTGAGGGGTTTTAAGATAACTCTCCCTTGGCCCATACAATTTTTCTCCTCCTCCTTCTCACCACATACAATATTCATTTTTGTTTAAATTTAAATGTAACAATTTACAAAAAAAGATGGTGTCTAATCCACAGGTCTGATCTGTGTATCTTGCCATTTGTAGGGAATTCTGATAATCTTTGAAATAGGCTTAAAGAAGGTAATTTTCTTTGAAGAACCATCTATACACATCCTGCCTTAAAACCCCACTCAAGTCATTTCCCCAAAGAACAAATATTATATAATTGTCTGTATTTTTGACTGCCTAACTTTATAAGTCACGTGGTGTTCATACAGCAACTTCCATCACCAATTTCAGACAGTCTGGACCTGGGAGTCCAGTCTGATCCAAGCTGCAGTGGGGTAATACTGGAGCAGGAGTACAGAAAGTCCATGGTCTGGGAAGGCACATGGTCTGTGCTTGGAGTTCCTAGGAAGCAGCTCCAGGCACAGAGGTAAACCAGAGAAGAGGAAAAGACAGGAGCCTGAGGCCAGAGGGAAGAGAAGGCTGATAAGGATTTGCGGCCAATACAGCAGACACAGGCCAGGCAAACAAAGCCTTTTCCAGGAAATGATCACAAAGTGTCCAAGAGGGAACTTACCTCATCCAAAGGCTTTGTATCAGACAGTCCTGACTTCGGTCTTTGAGACAAAATCCTGATGGCTGAGGTCTAAAGGAGAAGGCAAACTCCATGCAGAAAGCTCTAAAAGGATGGCAGCCTGCAAAAAGGGAGCAAACAGCTGCAGTGTGGATGTAGGGAAGGGATGTAGGGAAACAGATTAACAGTTATGTACAAGGCAGGCAGCTGAAAGACATTGGATTTACATTTAAGTTTTTCACATTTCGAGAATTTCTGTTATGATAAACCCAGACATGTGACAGGGGAGGAAATTACACAGTTACTATAACACGAGAAAAACCTGAGCCAATTCATCAAGCCAAAACAGGCCTGGAGGGACTGGTCTCTCTGATCTTTCACAGCTTGTAGCTTTAGGGCATGAAATACATATTAAAAAAAAAAAAAAAAAAAAAAAAAAAAAGAAAGAAGGATCGATAGTTAAGAGGATCCTTTGTGAAAATTTTGCCTTGGGGTAGAAATCACTCAAGAAGAGGATAATGGTCAAGCAAGGACAGCCTGGTAGAGGAGGCAGAAGAAGGACCTCAGATTGGCTGGAAGGCTGTTCAGACTTGAGGCATCAGGCATTTTTATCCTGGGAGGAGACACAGGGCTCAGAGTCTGCCCCTGGGGCGTTAGTGCTGGAGACACAAACCAGCCTGCAGTTTGCCTATCCTGAAATTACAGAGGAAGACTTCAAATCAGTTTACCTTGTGGGAAAGGTGTATCTTGTCATTACATGCTATTCTGTTTATATCTTCCCCAACTTTAACAAGCTCCTATCATTTTAAACATTGTGATTTCTTAGTGTGATGGGAAAGGAAATTTCCCCTGGTGTCTGAGCTGGGGCTCAAACCAATCTTCACAACAGACCTTCACAGAAAATTAAAGCAAGTCCTAATGGCTGCTAATCAGGGCCTTCCAGAAGAAAAGGCTGCAGCTGTTGTTAAGAGCTCTGAAAGCAATACTTGTCCCCCAAAAAACTGCCCCCAAAAGTCCAAAGTGTGGGAAATGACACAGGGCCACGATTCTGCCCAGGATTAAACTTTATTCCAAGAAGTACAAGAAAACAGTGCTAGTTCAGCCCAGGTAGACAACCAAAAGATCTTAATGGAACAAGAGAGATCCAGCCCCAGGCAAATTTTAGAAAAACAGAGTTTAGCCCAGTAGGATCTGGAAGCTGTAGGTTTCTCCTTAAAAATATAAACCAATAGCCTCAGAGTATAGTTTCTGCAAAGTGTAGTAGTGTAATTGCCCTATGACAGTATATTGGTTTTTTTTCTGACAAAGCTTCTTTTGTGTCCTTGTGTTTTTTCTTCAGCAGATATTTATAGACACTGTAGTCACAAAGCTCTTAAAAGCACTTCCTGTGCATTACATAAAGGTCTGTCTCCCTTCCAGAATCCCAAAGACCTGTTCACAAGCTTCCCATTATTTTGAGACCTTTATTTTACAGGGAAGATAGGTATGTTACCATACGCTATCCACGTGCTCAAGGAAAACACTTGCCCGTAGGATAGGACTTGGAGGGGGACAGTCACAGGCAGACAGCAAATGGAATAGTGACTGCAAGTGGTTTGTGTTGTTAGTGATGGGTTTGTTGTTGGGTTTTCCAGATCTTCAAAATGATTTCTTTAGCAGACTTTTCTTCTGAAGTTGCTTAGCCAGATTCACCAGCATACTCTGTGTTGTGCTGTTGATTTCTTGCTGGACAGAAGTGTCTGTGACTGTGGCCTTTCTTTAGTATCCATCAAAATGTTGTGTGCTCCCACCTCACTCATTGTCTTCACAGTAAAGTAGCTGTGCAGCTTTCTCTTTAGATCTGGACTATGTTCACCTTTATTGATAAGACCCTGGCACATTCCCAGCAAAATTAGATAGTTTAGAATACAGAACATTCTGGAATAAATCTAATGTGCCTGGGTTAATTTTATATCCAATTGAGCATTAAATGGTTGATTCTAGTGTTCAAGAGGAAAACATGAGATTAAAGAATTGATCTAATCTGCATTGTAGTTTGTTAGAAAACATCACTTATTTTAATGGGCCTAAACATGCATGTTGCCTGGAGTTCAAAGGAAAATGAGATCCAAGCAAAAGGTATAAAAAATGTGGAGAACACACTGCATAGTAAACAATCCCATGAGCTCATGCTGTGCCCTTTCTTTGCCTCCCTTTGATGTTGGAGCTCCCATTTTATTCCTGCAGACTTGATCCTGCTGCCTTTGAATTTAGTGGGAAGACTGCTCAATGACTTTGGTTGTGCAAAAAAACCTGACTTTAGATTCTTAAATGAGTTTTTGGAACAATAAAGGAGTTTTATATATTTTATTCTCTGATGGGATCCTGAGCTCTCACAGTGGAGGAAGAAAACAGAATCAGGGCTGTGTTGAACTGGCTTTCTGCTCCCAGGGATGGGAGAGGAGCTGCACTCCCATTTTCCATCTGATGCCTTTTTTCCTCTCTTCACCAAAATGCCAAAGTAGACAAGAGCAATGGAGCAAAAAGATCAGTGAGGGTACAATAGAAAGGAGGAAATGAAGGGTGGAGGGATAGCGCTGTAGTTGGTTGATACAGAACCGTAGAATCTTAGAATGGTTTAGGTCAGGACCTTTGAAGTCCAATACTCACCCTGCAGTGAACAGGGACATCCTGAACTAGTTCCAGTTGCTGAAAGCCCCATTCAACCTGACCTTGAATGTGTAAAGGTGGTGGCGAGAGGAGGTGGCTCTGACCTTCCCACACTCTGTGCTGGTTGTACCACAGTATTTTTGATGGGGAATGGGGTATCACTTCACAAAAATCAAACAATATCATCCATTGTGGATATAAGGCTGCCTGCTTCTTCTCAAGGGTGTGTTATTGCTTCTCATACAGATAGCCATGAACACAAGATGTGTGAAACACTACCTACATTTCCTAATTGCTAGAGAAGAATTTTAGCACCAAGCTTCCCCCAGGAAAGGAAGGAAAAATAACTTCAGCCTTGAAAAAGGGAAATAGCTTACATTGTCTAGCTTGTATCTTCCTCTGCTCTCTCAGAAAAGAACAAATTCCCTTGAATTTGATTCTGTCTGTGACTCAGACTCCTGCCAAAGGTGGCCTCCACCAAATGAGCAATTCCTGACATAAGAGCCTGGGGGAACGATTGGCTGAAGACAAAATCCTGCTGAGGCCACTCACATGAGCAGACTACGACAGATTGGTCCTAGTCTCTGCAAATCGCTTTAGATTAAGGTTTACTGTGCTATAGCAAGGATTAGAAAGTGCCAGTGGAGGCCAAAGTGTCACAGCCTCAGACTGCTGCCACTGTAGTCCCACAGGAGATAGAACACTCCTGGCTGTGGAATGAGGAGCCCAGGGAGATGTAAAATGTCTTGCGCAGGAGGCTGCAGGCACCAAGGAATGGAGACTGGCAGCGGAGGGCACTCAGCGGGAGGGCAGCAGAGGGGTTGTGAGCATTTCACAGTTCATTATGGCCTCGACAATGTCTGGCAGCATCACACACTTCTAATTTAATTTGGAATCGAGGTGATTTCCCAACACATTGTTTTGCACTTGAAACCTCTCTCTTAATTCCCCTTTTGTTAATCTATTAACAAATTAGGGTGTTTTCTGTAGCAGATGAAAAAAACTTGCGTTTGCAACTGCACAGCACCAGTTTGAAAATAGTAAGGAAATGTAACAGCTGAAATGCAGGGTGTCTACTTGGAGAGTAAACATGTCTTCAGTGTTAGCTCAGCTTTTAAAACAAACTTAGTAATTGCTTCCAGAGATAAAATATTTGCAAGCTATTATTACAGCACACTTTCATTAAAGGGAAGGAAGCACAGTTGTCTCTTCAGAGAAGGCAGACAGGAATAGAGAAAGCTGTGCTCCATAATTAATCCTCAAGAGCTGACAGGTACCTGCACCTCTGACAGCCCAACATTAAAACCTTACCAGCAGAGCATTCATCCATGCTGCTGTTTCCCAAGACACCCAAAGGAGGTCATGAATTTGTTAATTAATTTCTGGGAAACACCATGGATCTCTGTCTGAAAGCAAATAACAAATAGCCCAGGGAGACGTAAAATGTCTTGAGCAAAGAACACGAGCCTGCAAGTGATTTAAGGGTTTGAATATTGTGTATTCTTGAAAAGCAGTCGAAGAGGAGGGACTGTGTCAGCCAGCTCCTGTCCTTACACAGAGAAGTGTTTTTTCCTGAAAGCGGCTGTTTCACTTCAAAGCCTCTGATCCTGCAGCTGATAAAAGTGACAGCCGATGGAGCTGCTGCTTCACACCAGGACAGGTTGGACTGGGGACTGCCTGGAGATAACAGAGGTAGCGTTTTGCTTTCTAGACATTTCTTCGGGATTATGCAATACAAGGTATTTGTTGTCTGCAGAAACATCCCTCACAGACAGCAGCATTTCTGATCATGGTCATAGTTCAACTTCTCTTGTCCTTGACATAATTTGGAACAATTTTTGCACTAAAAATAACTAGGCAGGAAAAAATAACAAAAACAAAGAACTCAAACAAGGCATAAATCTGCATTGTTTCCCTCTTCAGGGATAATAATATGGTGAGATGGCAGCAGGCCACAGCAGTAATTGCTCCATATCTACACTGCACACATGCTGCATCAGAACAGCACATTTCTGTTCACAGGGGCACAACCTAAAATTAACCATGAGGAGCTCCACAGCATAGCAAGCTCAGTTAAAATTATGATGTTTAAAAATTGAAGAGCCTCACTAGCAATGATAGGATATCTGAAATACACAGCCTGCTTCAGAGG